TTACAGATATGCACAAACACATGCATTCTTATAGAGAGGTGCCAGAGCGAAGAGGCTGCCAGGTTGTCCGGCACCAGGGAGCAGTTGGGGGTTTAGTGCCTTGCTCAAGGACACCACCGAGGTGGAGCTACTAGTCCACACTCCAAAATGTTGTTCTGATCAGGATTTGAACCAGCGACCCTTCAGTTCCCAAGCCAAGTCCCTACAGACTGAGCAACTGGCGCCCCAAAAATGATGAGCTGTAATGCTCTGAATAGATATTCACTCATATATTTTTGACCACAACCCTATAACAAAAAGGTACACAACAAATCTTTTGACATTAGACATGCTTTCTTGCGATCTATTATATTTCAACCTGTTTTGTCTTTAGTGTCCTGCTGAGTGTATTTCCATGTCCTTGTCATCTCACTGTACATTTTTCTTTTTTTTTTACAACCAAATAGTAATTTCTATCCATCTCTCCCTCAGGTTTCCTGCTGTAAGCGCAGGCAAAGTGCTGACGCCGGTCAGATGATTTGTGTGTGTAGTAATACGTGTTGACAGAGCGCTTGGTGCCTGCTAATACCAGCTGCAGACTGCAGGATGCAGGGCTGCTAATGCCCTTCGTCACTCCTGAGCCGCTCTCAGCGTCGCCCGCTCAGCGTGGCACTCGGCGAGGCTCGGCTGTCCGCACATCCCCGTAGCTCAGATGCACAGCAATGTAATGCGTTTAGCCGCCAGTAATCTATTTACTTAATGATCTCTCTGGGAATGGGCTCATTTTATTGCTCCTCTACTCCCTCCCTCCGCAGCCTAATCAACTTTCTTTTTTTCTTTGGAGATATTCTGTAGCCAAAACCTTGTTGCTGATTAAATTCTCCTACAGGGCTCAGATATTTTCCTGATCAAAGCAAACTTCTCCTTGTGAGCTATATGCCAACAATATCAAACATGAGTTGTTCATTTTTCATTACAGATGATACAATTAGTTTTAAAATAACTCAGTCTGGCTCGTTAATTGTCCAAAGGTAGCCTCTGTGGCACCTTCATCACGAATGCAAAAAGCACGCCAGCTAAGTTTGTAAAAGTCAGAGCTAAGGGGTTTTTTATTCCCTGAAAATGACAAATTTCAAATAATGCCGTTAAAAGCTGAGCACATGAAAGGATGTACTTTAACGATCAGGTCGGAACGAACTGAATACATGTTCACCACTGTACCACAACTCTGTAATAACATGATGAAAGCTAAAAACATACCTTTTGATCTTCACAACGCTGGCAGCCCAGAGAGAGATCTGACCGGACAGAGAAACACATTTCATTTGAACTTAAAAAGACATGACAACATTCTACATTCAACACAAGATTCATTTTCAAAATGTATTTTTTTCAAGAACTTCATTTGGGATTACTGACAAATATTTTGTATATCCACAGCTTTAAGTGGTAAATACAGCCCATAATACCGGCTTTAAACTTATTTATCTTATATTTATTAAAATGTTTTATATCGTAATTTAATAGTCTTTTATATGCATGGTTACTTTGGTTCATTAAACTGTGGATCGTTTCCAAAATATTCTTGCCTCAAATGAAGCACACATTTGAAAAGTTTGTATTCCTACCTTTATATTTTTGAGATAAATGAATAGAGATACTGACCAAGCCTGCACAAAAAGAAGAATGTGTCACCCTCGTGACTCCTGGTAATGAAACCTTTTTTATTCGGTTTCCATTTAGAGAACTAAGATCTGTCATAAACCTTTCTGAGTGATGGTAACTTGCATTTCATTAGTATATGTCAGTGAAGACAAACCCTGCTTTAATGATCTGAGTGATTTGTCTGCGTACATCTGTCAATATGATCAAATATAAAGTAGCTGCTGTCCAGCTGTGGCCGCAGCAGAGGCCTCAGGGAAGCATCCCTGAATGAAGACAGGTGTTGTGGAACAGGGAACAGCTGTTATGTGGTTCACACACCTCAGATATAAACCTGACGCCTCATTTTTTCCTCCAATATTTTAGTTTATGATCAAATAGAAAGACCTTTATGTTAGTTTTCCTATACTTCCTATATATGAACTTTTTGTGTGTGTGCCACCGGCAGTTGGTTTCAGTTAGGTCTTCTGTTGCTAGTAGCAACAAGCACAATTTCAATAGTAGTTTCGGTTTAACTGACATTTTTGTCAGATCTGTGACCAATCACTTTTTTTCTCTTCAAATTCCTTTTTGACCATTACCTGAAGCTATTGTTTTTAGTATGCCGTTTTGTGATTGTTGATTTTTGCAATCCTTTTCCGCTGACTGAGCAAGCCATTCACTAGCATGTTTGATGCTGCATTGGTATGGAGAGCGCGGAGCCATCCTACTAGGGGGAAGCTCTGCTTGAACTATAGCACAGCGTTTCAAATGATTTCAAATTGATTGCTGCTGACCTTTCATAGCCAACCAATGAGATGGATCAGCTGTATGAAAGGCTTCAAGGTCTTCAAAGCAAGGCACTGCACTTTGCCTTGTGGTGAGAAAATACCAAATCTTCCACAATGAGTTGCAGCAGCCTAAATAACTGTAAAGGGGCCCTATTATGCTTTTTGCGGTTTTCTCTTTCCTGTAGTCGTGTGTTATGTTGTTGTGCATGTAATTGATGTGCAAAGGCTAAAATCCCAAATGAGTACCTTTATAATATATGAATCACTGTGATTCTCGTAATCCTCTTAACATATTGTTTAAAACAGCTCCAGAGTGAACACACAAGACATACAAGTATGACTGTAATTTGTTAAATGAAGTTACATAAATCAGTGAGCACTGATTATGAGAAGCATTTATCACCGCCCCGCCTGAGCAGTTTGTTAGTGTGCAGTCCTCTGAACGGCAGACACGTCCTGTCAGAAGTTTTATTTGTTTGGTAAAGGATGCTGTTTGGCATGCGGCCCAGTTCATTGTGCTCTCCCACACATCAGATAATTGGAGGGCTTTTGAAATATCCTCTCTGCTGCTGCTGCTCCCCGTCCTGGTCACGATCTTCAAACTACGATGCGTGGCAAGGTTGATGTTGATATTTCCAGCATTTTTGGCCTGCTGTAAATTTCATGGAGCGGGGTTTGATGACTGGTGGGAAGGGATCCTGCTGTTTGATGTCCAGAGCTCGTTAATCCAAACCTCATCTGGTATGCAAGGTCAGACCCTACTTTGATGTGCACGGGCCAGCCCCGCCAAGTCTACAGAGTCGAGAGGGCACTGTTCGTTTACCAAAGATCAGGAACTGTAGCAACCCTGACACATTTTGGCTTTTGTCCACCAACTACTGTCTGGTTTGTTAAAGGGGCCTCTGAGCTCTCCAGCAGCAGAAAGAGCACACATGAACATTTTCCCGAGAAGCTATATCAAATACAAATCTTTTCCCAAACACACGGGGTAACCGGAGGAATGTGTTGAGCTTTCATGTTTTCCTCAGGGAGCAACCAATGCAGTTAATAAGAAGAAAGCTCCGTGATAACACAGACAAAATAACCCAAATATTAGCAAGTATCAACCTACTGCCTCCATTTGTTCTCACCGTGGACTCACCATGATTGTCTTTGCGATAAATCTTCAAAAACAGCTTTTACTTCTCCAATCCCTAAACCAAAAACACCAGCAGCATTTACTAGTTTATTAATTTTGGATGAAGAGTTTTGTCTCTGATTTGTAAGATCTTAATCCCCGGTTGCATCTTTGGTTCATGTTCCTTGGAAACAGAGAGGAATGAGTAGAAACAGTGTTTGTTATGTAAAATAAAGCAACAACGGCCCCCACTTTGCACCCAGCGCAGGAATTCACTGCAATTAACTCTTGAGCGTCACATGTAAATATGAAGGTTTGGGGCTCTGCGGGCAGGGGACCCTGACTCTTTGTTCTCCCGGGGCTTTGGCTGGCCGCCACACTGCCTCAGTTGGCGGCACCTTGCTATCATTTTCTCACAATGGCTGGCGTGTGAGCCGTCCATCATTCCTCTCCCGTGTCTCCCTGTTTCTCCGAAGCACCCCCCCCCACTGGCACCTCGAGCAAATTCAGGTTCACCCATTCCCAAGTGCTGTCATCATCCTGTCATCTTGCCCAACTGCACACGCCTCCTAAAGGATATTTATTTATACTCTCTTATCATTTCGCTGTGGTTTGATCAGAAGAGATCATCTCTGTTTCTCAGATGTTCCTAAGGATTGTTGCAAATTGTTTCCAGGAACACCCCTTTTTGGTTTAGCCTCTTACGTGGAATAACTCCAGAAAGTATTACCAAGGGCTGCTCCTCTGATACCTAAAATATCATTCAAAATGAATTCGAAGCCAACAGAGCGTTATTGGAAAATGTATGGTGCAAAGTGATAAAAACCAGCACAGATACAGATGTTTAATCATGATTGAATCATCATTAGGATTATTCATCATTTATTGATTGCCACTGTGATGCCCCTGTGGGTGCATCAGTAGATAGGGTGTGGCTGTTCTGTCTGTGCTGCATTGGCTCCAGTGATTGCACCGATTGCAGTAACTCAGGGCACCTGGGTCTGGTGCTCTGCAGCTATCTTAAAGCCTCTCTGCTCCTGTCTGCTCTCTCGCTCTGTTTTCCTGCAGGCACCCGGCTCTGATGAGTATAACCCATGTGTTGAATTGACCAGTGTTGTGCAAATAAACACCTTTACCTACCCGTTGACATGTTGTGTCTCCTTTTTGTTGTGGCCTTTTGAGCCAGGTCGCAACAAATGGGGGCTCGTCCAACGGGTTATTTATTTAAAAAGTTTGTGTAGTGCTCATTGAGCAGCTGATTCATTGTTGTGGTCCAGCTGTGTGCTGGCTCTGCACTGCTATTTGGGGGACACATCATGTCTTTTGGGTTTCAGGATGCTTTAGTGTTTGACATGGCATCAGGTTTTGTGTGCCAATCAGAAGGTAAGATATTGCTGTTTGTTACGCTTTTGTAAAAGAGATTTTCCCCGCTAGGCTTAAGTGGCGTTTCCCCTTGGGTTCCGTCCGTTTGTTTTTTTCATAGTGTTGTGGCGACGTGGTTGGTGTCAGCTGTTTTCGGACAGCTGTCTCGGGGGCACATCCGCGTGATTTCTTGGTGTTACCTGCGTGCAGGTCGCTCCATAAATCCGCCGGGTTCCAGTGCGTAATTACCCGCCGCAAGCCACATGAAGACTAGGTGAGATTAGGAAGATTTTGGTAAGGCAGTTAGGGGGGAATTCTCTGTTGGGTTTTGTCTTTTCGCCCAGGCGTGTTGACAGTTGAGTACTTTGCTTTCTGATTGGGTATAGGCAATATATTATGGCTTCTTTGTCAGCGTTTGTGGATGCGCCCTCAGTATCTTTCTTGGATGGTTGCCAGAAGGCGCAGTTGATCGAAATATCAGAGCATTATGAAATTGCTGTTGTAGGGAGCAAGCGGAAAGATGACATTAAAGCTGTCATCGTGTCATCTTTGTTTGAGCGGGGAGTGTTACAGAAGAGTGAGTCTGGTGTGGCAGGGGTCGGGCCAGTAGTGGTTCAGACAGCTGGTTTGACATTCGAACAGCAAAAGGAGCTTTTGGCCATGCAGTTTAATCAGGAGAGATTGCAGTTGCAGTTGGAGTTGAAGTTGGAGAAGTTGCAGTTGGAGATGAGGGGTCAGCAGCAGGAGGTAGAGAAGCGTTTAGAGGTGGAGAAGGTGCTGGAGGTGGAAAAGATGAAATGTGAGGTGGAACATGCTAGATTACGGCTGATGGGAGAGGGCAAGTTTTCTCCAGGGGAGGATGGTGGTGCTAGGTTAGCATCAGGCAGTGGCGATATAATTTCTTACTTGCGATTAGTGCCAAAGTTCAATGAGCGTGACCCGGACATTTTTTTCACTCTATTTGAACACATAGCAGAGGCAAGAAACTGGTCAGATTCGGACAGAGTGCTGTTACTTCAGTGTGTACTCACTGGGCGAGCACAGGAAGCCTATTCAGCTATTTGTGGCGAAAATACTTTGGACTATGATAGAGTAAAATCAGCGGTGTTGAAATCTTACGAACTGGTTCCTGAAGCGTATCGTCAAAGGTTCAGAAGTGGGGTCAAGGGAGATAAGCAGACACATGTGGAGTTTATCCGTGATTTAACTTCTCATTTTCAGCGGTGGTGCGCGGCAGCAAAGGTTGCAAGTTTTGACGGTCTTTGTGAGCTCATTGTCTTGGAACAATTTAAAAACATTCTCCCTCAGCGTGTGGCCACATATGTGAATGAACAGAAACCTCCCACCGCGTTTAGAGCTGCTGAATTAGCGGACGATTTTGTGTTGACACATAAGGGCAGTTTTGCGGAGAAATATTCTAGGGGTGATTGGAAACGTGGAGAAGACAATGGAGATGCCCGTGCAAAGTTTTCACCAGGCTCCTCCCGTAGATTTGCAGGTACAGGGCGACCCGAGGGGGCCAAAGTGGACCAATGTCACTATTGCAAAGGTGGGGGTCATTGGAAGGAGCAGTGTCCATTGCTGGAAACGAAGGGGAAGCCTCGTTTGTCACCACATGCTCCAGCCATGTGTTGTTCTGCCGTGTTGGTTAAAAAGCCACAGGGTGTAGGATCGGGCATGGTGCCTGATAAGAAGCTGGTTTGTGCCTACTTGGATGTGGGTTCTGTTTTTGGGCCGTTCATAACGGAAGCCGTTGTGTCAATAGTTGGTAGTGACAAGTATGTTCCGATTAAGGTGTTGCGTGACACAGCAGCTAGATACTCATTTATTGTTGAGTCAGTGTTGCCTTTTTCGTCAGAGACAGAGACGGGGGATTTTGTGCTGATGAGGGGCATGGAGATGGGCTTGATTCCTGTGCGACGTCATACAGTAGTGCTGGATTGTGAGCTGGTACGGGGAGTTGTGTCTATCGGCGTGCGTCCCGCATTGCCACTTGATGGGGTACAGATGATTTTGGGCAACGATCTTGCTGGTTGTGTGGTGTGGGCAGGTGTGCCACCGCCTGTGGTGGTTTTCAGACGGTTGGCATCTGTAGAGCCAGATAAGAGTGGTTTGCAATTTCCAAGTGTGTCTCCTTTTTATACTATTACGCGTGTGCAGAGCCGTAGGATGTCTACTGACCTACCTGTTTCGGAGTCTGGAAAAAGTGGCCCAACACGGTCCTTTGACTTTCAGATCGAGACAAAGGTGAAGGAGAAGAAAGAGAGGAAACGCCGCAAAGCGAAGAAGAGGAGGCCGAAGGAGGTCAGCGCGCCCAAGAGGCCGATGAGCGCCTACATGCTGTGGCTCAACGCCAGCCAACCCAAGGAGGAGTGGGACATAAAGGCAGTGGAATCGAAGAAGCAGTACGAAATCGCAAGGCAAGAGCTCGAAGACAGAGGCGGAGGGGGAGCGTCCTCCAGTCCTAAGATGGAAAGTAAAAAGCTGGAGTTAAGAAGAAGGATGTGGGGTTGTCGTGGACCCCTTTGGGGCCCCGTCTTAAGGGAGGGGCTGTGATGCCCCTGTGGGTGCATCAGTAGATAGGGTGTGGCTGTTCTGTCTGTGCTGCATTGGCTCCAGTGATTGCACCGATTGCAGTAACTCAGGGCACCTGGGTCTGGTGCTCTGCAGCTATCTTAAAGCCTCTCTGCTCCTGTCTGCTCTCTCGCTCTGTTTTCCTGCAGGCACCCGGCTCTGATGAGTATAACCAATGTGTTGAATTGACCAGTGTTGTGCAAATAAACACCTTTACCTACCCGTTGACATGTTGTGTCTCCTTTTTGTTGTGGCCTTTTGAGCCAGGTCGCAACAGCCACATGCTCAATATGTAGGTTTGGAGAGCTCTGTTCCCTATAGTTGTGCTAAATTATGCATTTTCAAGTTTACTAGCTGATATGATATTAATGGTCAGAATCATTTAGTCACTGAGGGTTAAAAGATGTTTTCCATAATCTTGTATCATTTGATATTAATGCAACAACAACTTCTATTAAGTTGGCATTATTTTGGCTGACATATATGCTCACTATGTAACCAACACAAAAACAAACAAAGATATCAGGGAGAAAGAAACCTGAAAAGCAACATAAAAGGTAATATCGTATAATAAGCATGGTAATACCCCCCCCCCCTTTTTCTAGATGTTGACATGGACACAGTCCTAATTTCATCAGAAAGAAAGCGTGGTATAATTATTATGCAGGAGATTGAGAAGCACGACTACAGGTGAACTCTGCCTCAAGATGAATGGTTTATGAAGGTCTGAAGCATTTAGTAAAGTGTTTCCTTTCCTAAACTTTAGCACAGAGTAGAAGCAGTGCCTGATTGGGTCTCTTGCTAGCGTGTATATCACATTAGGCCTAGGTGATCAGCTTTCTTGACAGAGCTAAGGTTTCTGGCACACTTCATGATGCTGAAAGACTACTGTTGGCCAATGAAGGACACCAGCCCAAACTCAGTGCTATTTGGCTGGAGCGGCAAGAGGCAATGCTGTAACAAAACACTTGAGGAGGGAAAGAGGAAAGTCAAAAGAGAATGATCTTAAGTTGAGCAGAAACCTCCATTAAAAGAGAAGGTGAATTTAAGCCAGAGTTTAGCTGAAATGACAGTTTTGGCAGCCTTACTCAAATGCAGGCTTACCGAAAGTTAGTGTAACGTAAAGGCTATCGGGAGCAAAGCCCTCCAGCACCTGCAACGGAGACTAAAACAACTTCATGTCTCCATCCTGATGATACAGCACCCTCATTAACACGCCTGTGCGTTGCTGATATAATTGCCTTCTGTCAAGGTGCTGCACAGACATGTCACATAAACACTGTGGTTTCATGGAAACACCTAATGCATAATCCCAGATCTCAGCAGTGATATGTCAGAGTGTTTGTCTCTCGCAAATATACTTATCCTCATCATACTTGTTGAAAAGGAAAACTGCCTAAAACAGTATATCACATTTGACCTGCAGGGTTATATGCTTGCAGTACATGGCATTTTAATTGTTATCAATTGTCACAAAATAGTTCAAGCACGTAATTCCTCCTAAAACCACACATTTTTAGGTTTCTGTTTTGGAGTTAAACCAACCAGCTACAACACGTTATTAGTGAGCTTTAGTTGTTAGCAAGATGTGTTATTTACTTTGAAAAGAACCTGGCTAACTGTTTCACCATGTTTCCAGTCTTTATGCTAAAACCAGCTAATCTTCTACCGTCTCCAGCTCCGCATTTTCACTGCATTTTCCAATATGCTGTGACTCGTGCCAACAACATGGTTATCATAAAGAAATCAGTTCAGAATCCGATCTTATAATGGATCTGTATTAGGTCATGTAATTCATTTTGTAACCAAGTTAACATGTTTGCACATTCTCCCTGAATACAAGTATAATATGTAACATTTCTGAACAAAAATATATAAAAACGTATGTTATATGTTTTGTTGAGTTATGTGATAATCCAAAAAGTTTCCCAAAAATATTTAGAGACTTAGACAAGTCTTTCATTTGAATCAAGGCTATATCCAATGGACTTGGAGCATGCGTCAGCATTGTGGTTGTGGACCGCTTTCGGTAAAAACCTCCACAATGATGAACGCTGAAGTAATCCTAAACGGGGGTAACCAATTGTAACTCACATGATCCAACGCTACTTCACGACAGCAACACACTCCCTAAGTCGTGGTTAATTACATTGTTTCTAATAGATCAAAAACTGCTGTGCTTGTATCAATGAAGCTCATTCAAAAGTGTGAGACAGGCAGCACACAGTAATAACCCTAAGTAATTAGACGTCTCCTTCTCTTCCTGTCTCTACCTGTTACCTCTACCATTATTCATAACATGCGGTGGATTTGCAGTCTAATAATATGAATTGTTATTTCTGTGATAGCACTTTGTGACACCAAAAAACAGAGACATTGAAGTGCTGCGTAAACTTCTGTCTGTCCACGAAATTGGATTTTCCCACGTCGATTTTGATGAAATGGTATGATCACCAGAACTGTCAAAGGACCGAGCTAACGGTAAACCTGTAAAACTTCACACTTAATTTATATTGGTTGGTTTGTGTGAACAGGAACCGGACCCGAACCAAAACGTATCAAGTCAATTGTAAAACATTTTGCTTTTCAATTAGACTCATTTACATATGTTAGGTACCTCTATGTTGGCCCGCCTCAATTGCAATGCAGATCTGAACCTTCAGCCTTTTTTGGGAGCAAAGCAACCAACTGGTGCCTGATCAGAGAGAAGAGAAGCACACTTATAAAAGAGAGGAACAAGGGAAGCAGGCGACAGAGTTTGGAAGAGTACAGATTTATCACCCAGGCAGCCATGGAGTGGAAAGAAGCGCTGCTAGTCTGGAGAGTGGATTTCCACTTCGGTTTAATTCAGTGTGAAGTTTTTAAGACACGAATGTGGTTTCTGGAGATAAATGGGAAAGCCAGGCTTTTTCCGTGGAGACTGACACCTCTCTGTGTTCCGATCTATAATGAACTCTCTCCGTCGTAGTTGCCACAGTTAGTTGTTTACGGGGCTTTAGTGATCATTTGCTGCATGTGGAGTCTGTATTTGAAGCATGTCTTGTTTTGGGTTTAATTGATTAATTGACTTCTTCTTAACCGGAGCAAAGTCCTATATTTTTTTCTGACACAACAGGAAGCCATCAGATTTGTATTTTCATTGAAGGAATACAAATGACAGCTGCTGCCTCATTGAAGTACTTCAGTGGATATGTGCCATCTAGTGGTACAGATGTGTGCAGATGTTTTCCATAGCTGCACTTCAAATGTTACTGCCAGTATCGGTGAAAAAAAATGGTTAATGGTAGAATGCAGTCTTTATGCAGGCATTATCAAGTGCTTTATAATTATTAACAAAGAGGCGAAATGATATGCATGCTTATGATCAACAAGTGATTGGTTAATAGTTGTACCTCAAGCTATAGTTACCATTTCTTTTTTATAAACACACTGCATGCCTGTGTGTTTAAAGACAATTCCTTCTGCACTAAATAGCATGAAGTGATGAAAGCTGAATGGCTCTCACATTCTGAGGTCATGGGCCCTTCAATGGCTGCTTTATTACCATAGCATGTTAACCTGAAGCACCGCTTGCGGTCTCAGAAGAAGCCGAGGAGCTGCATGAAAATGATTACACCGCAATTATATCAGCCACTTTGTTGTGACTCCTCACTGCCCAGCTGTCTGCCGCCTGCTGCCAAGAAATGGATTAGTTTCACTGCTCCCCTAATAAGACCGTTAGACCAACAGCGTGAGCTCAAATAAATAAATGAAAGCTGCAGATAGGGAGACAGAAATAGATTAATATTGTCAGACAACGGCTTGTGTCTTCGTGCAGTCATAGCTGGAAAACTGGCAGAAGCAAGTGGAGATATCTCATTATCTGTGAGCAACAGTGAACAGCCAGAAGACTCTCACCGCGATCTAAACCTGTCAAACGTTCTCACACAGGACAGGCCAACGTCAAACAGAGAGTGTTTTGTATCCCCGGAGGGCTGAAGTACAACCCAGGCGGTAATAAAACTCAGGCAGACCATGTTGGTCCTGTAAACGTAATCTGCAAAGTGTTAATTACAACCTGGCGCCTCTGTGAAGCTGTGTGTGCTGGAAGTCAGCTGAGTCGTCAGCGGCGTCCTGATCTCCCCTCCCAAACAACACGGCCAAGCCATGGCGACAGCCTTGGAAACGAGATTTTCTCTCTGTTGATGACCCTGTTTGAATGGGCTGCTTTAAACAAATTAAGAGCCAGTCAGATGCCGTGTTTGTGTGAGCCCTTTCTCCTCAGGGGTGGAGGGTGGGGGGGCCCCAGCCACAGATCCTGTGTTGTTTACTGTCATTCATGTGAAGTGTCGAGGGTTTGTGTGTTTACCACACAAACCTTCTCACAGATGAAACTCAATGAAAACGCTCTTAAAGCTGCGTGATGGCCCACAAAGCAAGGAGAGGGAGGCTGCTGAAGAGCTGCAATGATTAATCCATTAGTCTATGGGCTAAGAATTAATTGGCACTATTCTTTTGATAATCCTGTACATTTTTACCCAAAAAGGCCAACCAATCTCTAGTTTCAGCGAGTTTTGGAATGCTTGTCGAATAAGGAATTTCCATTAAAAAAGGGCAAATGACTAAACTGTTTTAATGAATAGTCGAGAACATATTTGACAGACTGATCAATCATTAAATAATCCTTAGTTGCAGCATTAGCTGTTCTGTTTTTATACTTTTCCAGTTTCTTATTATTTTCATTCATCGTCTTTCAGCTCTGTTTGATCCTGCAGAACTGTTTATACGTTTTGAGGAAATTCAACTTAATTCCAATACCTTTTTCTCCTTGCCGGCTCTCTCTGTAGCCTCGGAGGACAGGGTTCATTCAATGAGCCCCTCACTCAGATTTTGTTATTTAGTTATTGTGTAATGGCCTCCAAAGGTTGAAGGATGGCTCCTCTACAGGTCTCCCTGAGGAGCAAACCCTCTATCTAGACATTAATCCACTGCTGTGAGACAGA